AAGGCTGGAGACCTCACTGTGGCCTTCCAGTATTTGAAGGGAGAATATAAGCAGGAGGGGGAATGGGTGGATAGTGATAGGACAAGGGGAATGGCTTTAAGCTGAGACAGGGGAGGTTTAGGTTGGATATTAGGAGGCAGTTTTTCATACAGAGGGTGGTGAGGCACTGGAACAGGTTGCCCAAGGAGGCTGTGGATGCCCCATCCCTGCAGGCATTCAAGGCCAGGCTGGATGCGGCTCTGGGCAGCCTGGGCTGCTGGTAGGTAACCTGCACACAGCAGGGAGTTGGAACTAGAATAAGAAAGAAAATTAACCAGCAGGTATTGGTTGAAAACTGTTGGTTATGAATGCATGAATGGAGATGAGTTTTTTTCCAAAAGCAAAATACTTTTGACTCGGTTGGGTGAAGAAATGACCAGATAACCTAATTATTCAGAGGGTGAAGAATGTTCATGTATTTGTCGGGCATTATGAATCTTCTAAAATTACCCTCAATGGTTCAGAAACACTGGTAGTGTTTGGACAGTTCTCCTCTTCTTGACATACAGCTTTCTGCAAATACACCTTCAAGAGGCAAGCCTAATTTATAGATGCCTGCTGTCCTCTGTGGCTGCACAGGAGGCATGTGCTGATGTGTGTTAGTGAGAGGAATAAGACAGCCATCTGCACAGACTGTAGTGCCTTGCACATCTTTTCTGTAAGCATGCCTCGAAGGAAAATGACACCAGAAGAATGGAAAAGGAATAAGCAGAAGTAACATGGAGAAGAGAAAGCTGAAGGGAAAGGCTGCTGCCAAGGTACATTCCTAGAGCACATGAATGTGTATGCATATGTTGCCTTTCATCAGCAACCAATTACAGACTGAAGAATCGAGCCACTCACATGACACTGAGTGCTAATGAAGGACTTGGCTCTTCAAGACTGCAGATATGCACACTACTGGGCCATGCTGACTTTCTACAGCAGGCAAGACATCCCTTTGCTGCCTCAATTAAAATTTTTTGTAAATTTTGAGTGCCATGAAAGCCAGCTCCACCACCACCACTCCTTGAGTAGCAGAAGCAATGAAGCCTGGCTGCCAAGAGACCAGATTCCTAGATCCCCATTCCCTTCCCTGAAATTATGCATGTCCGGCCTCATCCCCAGCACTACTGCCAGATGCTTGCCACAGATTTAATCACCACCAGGCACCAAATGCTTCCAGGTCTTTTACAGCCTTCACTGACCTTTCTTGTTCCTCCTCCCGCCCCCAGCACACTCCATCCCTTGAAGTCCCTAAACTAGCAGGCGGGAAAGGGAAAGCCTTTATTTATCAGGCAGCCAGCTAAGCAGAACAAACTGTGAACTTGCGCTGCAGCCCCTCTGACTACATTTGGCCAAAATCCACTGCAAAATTTAAGAATGCTGGAGAGAGAAAAAAGACAAATGACGGCAGACTTAAACATACAAACCCTACCTCTGCAAGAAACAAGATAAAGAAAAGCGCCAGCCAGATCATCTGACTGCTAAGAACATGCTAGGCGAGAGGAACTCTCTGCTTTAAGGAACTCTTGCATCCAGCATCTCAGTCACTGTGACAGGTTGGGTTTATTTTCTAATCGCTCTTCCAGAAGGTTTCACTTCCAGTTCTGTCATTTAGTCAAGGCATCACTGTGCCATTTGCTTCATAGTCTGGATTTTCCCAGTAAGCACTCTAAGCTTAAGAAAGGAAAAGCAATGACATTTCAGACAGTGCATTAATGAAAGATTTAGCAGCTGAATTACATCAGAGTCCAGAGCCTTCTGACTGCCGTAATTTCCTTGCTGTGCCCAGCACCACAAAGGGAGCTCTAGGGCTCATGTGTGGTGGTGTGCAGGGTGTGCATGTGGCTAGCTAAAAGAACAGTTGAACAAGGGCAGGTACACTCAGTGGGCTCTTCTTTACACAGAAAAGACTTGTAAGTAAAGTGAGTGCAAACAAATATTTCATCCTAGATCTAGGTTTGCTTCACAGTGCCCAATCAATATCAATACCAAACTTATCCAACACCTCAGCCTTGTATTCTAGCTGTAAAATCGTCATGATATTACTTTGAAAAGCTGGACCTGACACTGCTCCTGTAAGAGCTGTGGACTGCTAAGAAGTCATCTTTGTTCTGCACACTTTGAGCTAGAAGCCGTTTCATTTTATAAGCCTGGACTGTAGTAAAGGCCTTGCCTCCTGTCTCAGCTGCAACAGATAAAAATATTTACCTTACATGGGCAAAAAAGCTACAGCACAGAAAGAAAAAAAGAGGAAGACATACATATAATATAGCAGTGACATAACCACAAGAGTGACAGCACAAGAGAGCACTGTAAAACCACCACTTTCATTCTGACTCTTCAAAAATATTCCAGATTCTATCTCAGGGGAAAAAAAAAAAAGATATAAATTGAGACATAAGGTTGGATCAGTTGTTTTCTTTTTTGTTGTTGTTGGGTTTTTTTTTTTGTTTGTTTTTGTTATAAGGTAATAGCCAATTAGCCAATAACATCTCAGGAAAAGGAAAATCATTTTAACTGTTGGTAATTTGTAACTCAGCAGAAAGCAATTCTCTGCTTCCCTAAAAAGAAATCCAAACAATCTCCAAACCACCTAATTATACAAAATTTCACACTACAAGATTTAGAAGAAAATTTTTCCTAAGAATAACTTCCAAGAATGAGCAGATTCAGTAGACTGAAATTATCTTGGAATATTTTAGAGATACAGATTGTCTCTGTTTGTCTCAGAAAGGATCTGTGCTTGCTTTTCCCATTGAATGTCATCTGAATGAAAAAAACATAGAATCATAAGAATGGTGTTACAAGATAAATCAGCTCCACTTGGGGAATAAGCTTCTGTTTTTGATAAGGCACCTCTTCTTCTTGCCTCCTGTTAACTGAGAAATTTCCGTTCTGGGATCCTTAAGGGAGGAGATATATTCTCCTGCCAGGTCTACTAACCAGCATAAGTAAAAGACAGGAGTAGAAAACAGAGTACAACCACACCTTTGTTCTATTGTTACTATAAACCAAAACTCTACAAAATAAATATCACCATAAATTCCTTGTTCTTGAACTAAAGTTTTGTGACCAAAGCATGAGAATTGCATTAGATCTTTGGAAAGTCTTGCTCATGCTGGCTGGCTGCATAACCTCTAAGCAGTTCTCCCGTAAGTCATCTATTTGTTATTTATTATATTCAATAACTTTATTGCAGCCCACCATGCTGTCATTCTACAGACAGGAAGCCATAATATTGCAACTAACTTACATAGCTAGTCACCTTCATTTCTTTCTTGAATTTGGAAAGCAGCCAAAACAGCAAAAATCTGTAAGGAAGCCCTTTCCCTGTAATGTAAGGCAGCTGTTCCAGGTACCTGAGGAAATCTTCGTGCACCAGCATCTCCAGGCTACAAATTACCTGAGTCTTCTTGATGGACAGAAGCTCCTCCATGTAAGAGTGATTCTACAAGGTAAGCTCCATCAACAGATTCATGCACTTAGCATTCCCATTTAAGAACAAGTCTTTTGGGTCATTATCACCTTGTATGCAGCAAACCTATACTCTCAAATACAGATGTGGCAAGGAGCTTCTCACACCTGCAGGCGGTATAGAACAGGTTAACAGAAAATTAAAAAAAAAAAGACATTTAACTAATCAAAAAAAATCATTTAAGAGAGATGGTATAGAAACAACAAAGCATAACAAAAAAGCTCACTTCATTGTTTCACAGCACAAAATCCAAGGGTAAGAAGCGTTACCCAAACTACATGAGTGTCAGTACTTAGTGTTGACACCATCACTTACCATGGATGGATTGCACTCAGTTTATGGAGTGAAAAACAGATCTGGTAAGAACCACTACATTCAACTCTATACAAACCATTTGTATTAAGCTTTTACCAGCACAATTAATAAGATACATTTGATTTTATTTCTAAAACATCAATGTCATCTTTCCAAACACAGAGAAGAAAATGTTTCCATTGCAGCACTGCTGTAAGCATGGTGACATTTTACTATGTGTCAGGCATCACATACAGAATCCTTACTGCTCTAACGGTACATGAGTAAAGTTTTCTATTCACTAATTTCCCAGTAACTTCACTGTCTTCACAGAAGTGAAATGACAGCAGCCAGGAGCAGACCTGAAATTCTTGGATTTAAACATATACTGAACTACTAGGAAACTCTTTAACTGGAAAAATCACAGGAGACAGGCTTCTGAGCAAACCTCTAGCTAAACCTCACCTTTTCACCAGTACTCTCATCAGTGGTTGTAAAAAAGTCAGACACCTTCTAGTGACACGTGCTTCCACCTTGCAGAAGATCCAACTGCCTTCTAGAAGGTATAGCTCATATCCTTGAGCTATATAGCAGAAATGCTATATAAAGTCTCACCATCCATAGCTTTGGGAGGTACAAGAGCAATATGTACAAGAGCAATACCTCCCACCCCGCTTATTGTAGCTATCTGCTGACCAGAGCTAGAAAATAGGAAAAAATAAGAAGTGAAGTGCTGGTAAAAGTTCACCAAACAAGACTGAGACATTATGAAACTTTGCATTTTGCTGAGCTGCTTTCCTAGCATGGAATCAGAAAATGTACATAAACCCAAATAGCACTGATATGTCACCAAACTCCCAAGCAGCTTTGGCAATACAACAGAGAACAACTTCAAATCAAACTTGATCTCTGCACATCTCTGCTTCCTATTAAGAATTATATCTCTTATATATTTTGTTATCTAGATGAGGGAAAAATCCACTCGACTCCACATTTCCCTGTGTTATTCCCACTCAATTTCAACCCGTTTAAACATAAATCCCTAGAGCTTCTAGGTCTTAGTAACACTCCCAGTTAAGTGACAGAAGAATAAAGTTTCAGGACTCTGTGATAATTAGTCCCTATAAGCTCTGTTTATTCTTAGTCTGTCTCACACAAGTAATGAAATAATTTATCGCCCAAATAGTGGGAGGGAAAGATTGAAATGTGAACATTTCTCAAATTTTATTAACTCTAACAAAAACTGTAAATTACAGGGTGGTCATTTGGTGAAGACACACAAATTCAGACACGTGAATATTGCTCAGCTGGCAATTAAGTGACAAACATTGTACAACTGCGGCAGACATCAACTGCTGAACAACTAATCAATGTAATCAAAATCTTCTGGAATTCCAAAACTTTTGTCAATTCTGCTCTCTTCAAATCCAAATTTACGCTTGGCCCAGGACTTTATTGCAAAGATGTTATCTGTAAACAGAATGCAAAACATTCCGTTTTAAATGTTTAGCAAAGCATGGCTTGTAGACTCAAATACAATGGTAGATGAATTCTAAATAAGATATTACAAATAATGTTCTAAATAATTAAAGAAAAAAAATTAAGGACATATTGCTTGCTATGCAAAATGGAAACGTAAAGCCACAGAGTCAAGCTGAGCAACAACAGGAAATTAAGTTAAACTTCCACACATATGTCACTGCAATAGGCTTCTTCAAAACTGTGCAGCACATTTCCTGCATGTCCAAGTTGATGAATAAGGTTAAGAAATACCTACATTGTATTAGCATCCATTATATGAGGGCAGAGATAATGCTTCACAAAGCATTCTACTCTTCAGAAACAAATGAAAATTCAGAGAAGAATTAAATTTTCTGAATACCTGGAATCATGGCAATGTCAAAGTAGCCACTGCCATTCCTGGTCTCTTTCTGTTAAAGTTTTCCTTATCTTAAGAGATTTTAATTCAACCAAAAAAAAAAAAAAAGAGTTGCAGATTTTAACAAGGTGTGCAAAGAATAGATCCATTAACCACAGTTATTAGTTAAACTGAGAAAATACATTTCTTTTTTGAATCATGAGTGCACACAAAATAAATTTCTGGATGTTTTTTGTAAGTGAGGTCTATCCTGCATCATGTCTTAAAACTTCCTAGCAATAACTAGGTCTTTTACTCAAATTGCTCGTGTGAAGCTGCCCTAGGCAAAATAAGTGCATACAGACCAGTCCATCTGTTGGCTGCCTCCTTGGCTACTTTGCTTGTTTGGCCTGAAAGAGAGGGAAAAAATAAAAATAAAAATAAAAACATAAGTCAGAGTCAAATAATAGCAGTAGTTTCAAGACATGGAGATGTTTGGTTTGGTTTGCGTGGAGATTGAATTGTACATACATAGCCTGAAGATACTAGAGGAAAATGAGACTGAAAATACTTTGCAATGCTCCCTGTATGTAAACTGTGCATTACATCAGTATGTATGACTATACAAATCAAGAAAATGATAAGAGGAACAGTCAACCACTGGAGTCTGCACAAACATATCACATAGCTTTGGAAAGTCCCCTGAGCTTTGAGAATCCCTTTGATTACATAAAGACAATGCTCCTGCTCATTATACTGGGCTTCTCTCAGTTACCACCTCTCCCAGTTTAAATACATAATAATAAAAGCTATTTGTAGTAAATTTACACAGCTTCCATGAGGCAAAACAGTATCAAGAAAATAAATCCTCTTGCTCCCACGAAAATAAGCAGTGAATCAAATCAAACAGGTTGGTTTGTAACGTGGGAATTCATCAGAATCATTATGGTTCTCACACCTACACATAACTTAGTTATTCCCAGTCAGTCTTGTTAGTACTCGCATGATAATATTCATTGGAATGGTCAGCATGAGATTTGTATACAGAGGCACTGCAGAAATGAATATATGATCAGATATCCATTGTTACAAGGCTTATACTTCAGTCAAAGTTAAATTATCTTGCAAAATTATCTGCTAGCACTCAGAAAGATAATCACTCTTTATTCTACCCTTCAGTATGTTTTGGTTAGTGATATGAGTAATGGTTAAATGCTGGTAGAATATAGTCTCAAAAACAGTGCAGTTTCTAGAGATGGTCTACAATCAGAAAGAATTATAGAATTTCTCAGGTTGGAAAAGACTTTAAAAATCATCGAGTCCAACCTCACTCTAACAATCCGCCACTAAATCCTGTCCCTGAGCACCACATCCAAATGGTTGTTAAACTCATCCAGGGATGGTGACTCAACCACCTCTCTGGGGAGCCCATTCCAGTGCTTAACAGCCCTTTCTGTAAAGAAGTTTGTCCTGATATCCAACCACATATTACAAATGAAGTTAAAAAGACTGGCAAAAAAAGGGAGTGGGTAGGAAGAGGGAATTTTTACACATTTGCATGCATTAGAAATGCAAACTATTCCTTGCTTGACAGAGATATTCCATATTTCCTTTGCTCACTTCTTGTTGCTAACTCCACTATTTTAGTTCCATAGATGGCAGCACTGACAACACACTGACAGCCAAGGGCATTATGAACAGTACTTCACCTAACACTACACAGATCAAGTTTGCAGAATAAGGGCCTTTGTTTGCCAAGACCTTGCATTGCATGAAAGCACTGATACTGCACTCAGCACTTTTTTAAAGTCTGATTGTAAAATTGCATCTGACTTCAAGTAACAAAGTTACAACTCTAAAAGGTTTGGGGCTGCAAAGTAACAGCACCCTGATGGTCAGGGTGAGCAGGGTGAGCAGACTGCCTCCACAGCACCTGCTTTCTGTAAGCAGCCAAGCAGCTGAGCAGGCACTTCTGCACCATGCAGCAGCTCTCAGCTCCTGCAGCTTGTAGCAGCACTGGTCTCATGCTTAAAGCACACCCACTGTGCATATATGGGGGCAGCAAGGTGCTTCATCAGCCTTCAGACATTGCTTAACACGTTAAAATGTACATGTGCAATCATGCGGTTTAGAAATGCGACCTCTACATCTATTAAAGAGAAAGCAGAGGTAGTCAACAGATGCAGGTTGGACTCACTCCACTGAGTGGCTAGAATGACAGTGGCTGTTGATAACAGAGCTGTGGCTAGAAATGAAATCATGGTAGCAAGGGGAGGAAGCTGTATGGGGAAAACCCACAGTGGGCAGCACGTTCAATTACTAAAATAACAGGAAAAAAAAAAAAAAAAAAAAAAAAAAAACAACAACAACAAAAACCACCAAGAAAGAGCCGAGAGTCTAAGTACTGAAACAAAACAGTGAAAGATTTTAACTACACCATTCTTTCCATGCACCACTTGGGATTAATCATAGAATGGCAGAGAAATGCCACGTTCAAAGTGTGGAAAGACAGTAAGTAGAGGCAGAACTGCAGGACAGGGAAGGTAACATTCAAACAACGTGGCCAGATGCCAGTGTCAAAGGAAGGGCTGTTCCAGGCCCCTGGAAGCACATATCCCCCCATTACTCTGCTGACAGAAGGCTCAGGGCTGGGGAAACAAGAGCCACTTGTAGCGCCTCCGGCACGTGACATCTCCAGGAAATGCATTCACAAGAGGCTGGGGCAAGGTTTTATTGCTTGCAGTTTCCCATTTTACCCTGGCAGGCATGTGACAGTACCACAGGGTACAGGTGTGGGTTTATCCTGCCATGTGCGAAGTTGCTTAAGCCATCAGGCGTACGATATCAACACCAACAGCAGCTATTTCTGGCAAGCTGCAAGCCACTTATGTGCTCCTCATGTCCAGCCTGACCAAGGTGATGCACACAAGACAGCTTGCACTACCTCTTGTCAGCAAGCAGGACTGTCACTGCTGTTACTGCAGGATAGAACTGCAGTCTGCATAACCACTAATTTCTTCACTTATGGTAAAATCTTCACATATTTTTCCATCACTTTTTTCTTTTTTATTTTATTTTATTTTATTTATTTAGGGTCTGGAAACACATTATCCATCTTCAGAAAATAAAATTCCCAATGCCTACGAACTGAGAATTTACCTATCTGAAGGCAAGGTGAAAATGCCCTGGGGTCTGGCTCAATTCTTGCCTATAGTTCCACTGCAGAATCTCATCTGCTGGCTGCATGTAACACAACACAGCTGGACATGCATCACCTGAAGACATCAGCTGCATAGCTGCATTATGGCCAGCATCTTCCAGAGGTCCCCCACTCCATCACAAGAACCAAGAGGTATGAAGGAATCTGCACTTGGACCACATTACCAAAATCTTCTGTAGTTGCTTGTTGGGACTTTCAATAGTTGTGTCATGAGTATGTGTGAGTGCACAAAGAGGAGTAGAATAGAAATCCCCCACCCACCTACCCAAAGTACTGATGTAATTCAACGCTATGCTGCTTATGACTGCCTGTTCTGCACAGGATCATACACCCATCAGCCTCCCACACAGAAGGGTGAAGTAGATATTTACTTCCATTCATGTGACAATACATCAATACACTTCCTTGCAGAATACACGTCATTCACTTGGCTGAGCTGCACTCTTGTGTCCTAGGCTGACCAGTTCTTGGCATTTTCTAAGCAGTAAATGGAAGTGTACATTCTCTCCTGAGCCAAATGAAAGTAACTACATCACATACAGAAGCGCAAGGCCCAGGAGCAGCACGGCCAGCATGGTTTTTAATTTAAATGATTCTATGACTTGTGCAGCACTAGACTGCTACATCAGCAAAACACACCTGGAAATAAGTCATAAAGACTGAAAGGGTAAGGGTCAAAACATTTTGAGCACTCCTCCTAGGAATCTCTTCCTCCCTCAAACCCAGGTATCTAGCAGAGCTGCAGGGAACTCAGGAAGCCTAGATTTTGGGAACTGAACCATTTTCCTAAGCAGCCTTCTTAACACAGGGACAAACAAAACCAGTTATGGAAAGGAAGATCCAGAAGTGCTGAATACCTAAAGAGAAAGTGAAGAAACATGCTCTTCATGGTCTTTAATGCAGGCAAGTGACATCCAGACAGGGATGGATGAAGGAGCAGACCAAAGAAGCCAACCTGACAAGAGTGTGTGGAATAGCAAGCAAAAAACCATCCAGGGCAAACAGACAGCTCCCGGCCAGGAGTGACATCTGGCAGCACAGGATGCCTTTGTCAGATCTGAGCTGGTGGCATGCATCGGCTAAGAGTCAGCATGGTCAAGCTGTGCTGCTTCTGATTCAACTCTGGAAGCCCCAGGCCACTCTCAGAATCATGCAGAACCGCAGCTGCCTCTTTCCTCTCTTCTGCTCCTTCACACAGATTTACAGCTTTTCTCCTGAATGTGATGTTGGAAGTTAACGTTCCTACTTGTGTTCCAGAGTGGAATGGCCGCTTGAGGTTCCTTTAAAATCTCACAAATTTCCACGGTCAGAAAACCACTACATGCCTCATCAATGCAATATGCGTGCTCCAGGAGGATGGGTTACTCCTTCTACACATCTCTGATATTTCCATGACTGTTACACAAATGCGTCAATAACCATAAGAACTCCACAAGCATTTGCCAGACCTACTTCCAGGTTATTTCTAAAAGCTTTTCTTTTTGTTTTTGTTTTTTAAGTCATGCATGTAAAGGAATGCAATGGAAGCAGTCACTGAATAATATTCAAGAATCAGGCTGTAAAGGTACCAACAGCTATACTGAAAAATCTCAAGAGCCTGAGGTAGCCCACAGTCACTTGTAGTCTTGGAAACAAAGAAAGAACTGCTGCCTTCTTCTCCCTTCTAGTTTCTACTCTGGAATTTTCAAGAGAACTTTATATATTATTATAAGCAATATTTTTATGTGTAAACATTTCCAAGACTAGTCAGGAAGAATCATTATTCTTCTCCCATACACCAGCATGCCACATAACACTTGTATCCATGATATCAATCAACAAGTCACAACGCTTCAGAATACATAACAACTGAATTCAAGTCAATGCAAATACACTATTTCTCATGTAGACAACATCACACACTCAGCAGAACTATACTGACATGTTGCTAAAGATATTTCAGAGCTATAGGGAAAAAAAAGTGCTTGTTATTATGACAGCTACTTACAACTATTTTGGAAAGCCTGGAACACAACATGCTAAGGCAGGATGGAAAAAACATTCATTTTATATGTTGGAAAATAAACCTAAGCATATGTGTCCAATAGTATTAATATGTGCTGAGACGCAGCAGTGCATATAAAAGCCACCAATAAGCTGCTCCATGTCTCTGAGATCTTTTAAAGGGTCTGCAATATTTTTTGTTTGAAA